TGTGTGTGTGTGGATGCTGACCCAGACAGCTGAAGGTCACAGAGGTCACAGGAGCAGAGGGGATGACACATCCTGACGTCCTCGTCTCTCTCTCCTTCACTCAGCAGACATTCCACCTCCACTTCGTTTCCATTCGCTATGTGCTACAACACACACACACACACACAGGAGAAATTAATATACCTGTATGATCACAAACATCGACATTCCCTAAAACACCACTTGTCTTCACACTGGGGACCGTTAGAGGAACGTCAACCTCAGCGCTCAGCCTTAATGATTACTGTTTGGAAAACTGGTGAAAGTGATGGATTCTGGGATGTCTGCTGAGTGGGTTAGCTTCCTGAACTCACCTCAAACAGACAGTTGATGGGCGTGGCAGCGCTCTGAGACAGAAGACTCATCCTCTCTTTGAACAACGCCTTGTCATTCAGCTCACCTGAGCCCTGAGGGGACAGAGAAAACACAGTCGACCTTCAACGCCTGCTGAGAAACAACGCGGGAATAAAATCTGCCTTCCTGTGCGACTCACGGTGTTCTGCAGCTTCCCCAGGTTGATGTACTCCACCGCTGCCTCGAAGGTGCTCAGACAGTAGCTGAGCTCATCTTTACTGGAGTGGCTGAAGCAGAAGTTCCTGATGTAGCTCAGGTTGGCCATCCTGAGGACAACAGTAACTGTGATTGACCGACTACACAGAGAGAAAACACGCAGGCTAACATTTCTTGAGACCAAGAACTGAGAGTGTTTTGCTTTATAGCGGAGTAAAGTCAGACTGAAGCTAACAGGCAACAGTTTGGTGCTGAAATCAAAGACTGCATCAGTTTTAACCTGGATTGTCTCATTTTTCTACCAAAACCAGTTCAGCAATTCTAGCTATAATTGCATAAAAGTGACCTTTGTGCAGGAAGGTGGTCCAACTTCACATCTATGAGATCTACTGAGGAAAATCACAGCTGAGGGCAAAGATGTTTCTAGTATTTAACTTAGTTATTGTTCACTGTTTGTTATTTGCAGGTATGTGTTGTTCTTTTAATATCCAACCGCTGATAAATATATGTAGAAAGGGAGTATAAGATTATGTATGTCTTTATGCACTGTGGAGGGACAAAAACAATCAGTTTCAATCATTTTAAAATGTGTTTTTTTTTGTAATTCAGCTGCTGTGGAAGATGGACAAGAAGTTCTGTTACAGTGTACAGTCAGTAATAGAGGCTTACTGATTACTAATAATCAGTATCTGTGTCGGCCCTAGCAGGGCTGCAGACCCTCTCCGGTTGACTCATGACAGACAGGAGTGATGCTACTGGACGTTTACACACTCCAGAAACGACAGATCAGCTTTTTTGTTTCCTCAAAACAACCCAAAAAAGATCAAAGGTCACAGTGAATCCCCACTCCAGGCTCACCAGTTAGGGATTTCAGTCTTCACCAGCAGATAGAGGATGACAGACAGCAGGTCGTCCGCACTCACAGCCTCTATGCTGACTGCAGGGGAAGACACACACACACACACACACACACACTCAGTGAACACAGCAAAACCCACAAAAAATAACACTTTGAGTCCTGACACTCTGCCTCTGTCCGGAGCAAATGACTAAATTGGCCGCTGGACAAACATTAATTAGGAGCCGATCGTACCACTCTGCTGACTGACAGCGGGGTTGTTGTGGGCCAATAAGCTCGGATTTCCAAAGCAAACTGGACAAACACATTAGACGCCGACAGAGCAGGTATTGTCCTGTGAGCTGATCTGATTATAGACAGTGAGAGCGCGCTCAGAGATCATGTGGAGTTCACTCCGCCTGTCCAGAGAGGCGAACGGCTGACTTACACACTGACCAGACAAAATGTGAGTCACACTTCCTCCCTGATGAGGTCAATCATCAATAAATGTGCAATATAACCGACTACAGCGTGAGATAAAGAAACTCAGTCAGTGGACAGAAAGAGTGTTTCATATGTAAGATACTGAATCACTTCACGTGTTATTTTTATCTTTTAATCAGTGTTTATCAGCAGAGAGTGA